TCTTCTCCAATCATGATTTCCCTTTATAGTTTCCCTCTCAGAACACTGTACAACTCCCCAATTAGAATAACGTGTCATTTCCTTCAAGAGGAATCAGCATGATAGACTGATGGCCCCATGCCAAGAAACCTTTTTTGAGCAAGTCATTATCACTTGAGAAAAAGACATTGTGAAATGTTTGAAGGGAGAACAGTTGTTCTAACCAACAACCTTGATAGAGCCTGTCATTTAAAGTTAAACACTGAGGGATTAAATCAGGTTTGACAGTCATAGGCAGAGAGGAGACTGTGTTGTTAAGTCTTTGAGATCCCTTTGCCACTAAAATCATGAAGACATAGCTTATAAATTATTATAGCTTATATATTATAAGTATATAATATATAGATATGTAATATATAATATTATATGTGATATAGAGGCATATAATATATAGGTAGCTTATATGGATGCACATATGTACATATGTGTGTGCATATATATGTATATGTATGCATATATATTATAGGTGCAATCTATTTGAGTCAACCTACCAACGGAAGCCACCACATTTCTAGATGCTGTTTGTGGAATAGAAGAGGATATACATTTGTAACTATAGACAGCAAGTGCATTAGATTTTATTACAGCCTCTTATAACTTTAAAACAATATTACTTGAAAAAAAGGAACCATTTGAAATTTAAAAACTAGAATTCTACTTTCTTGACTAATTTAATTCAAGAAGCATTTATTAAGTACGAATTCATTAGCTAGTTGCCTTCCTCATTTGGAGCATCATGGTGGTTCTCCAGTAATTTTGAGCATGAAATTTTTGGCCATCTTCTCATTAGCCACCCACCATCTAAACTAGAGATCATGTGCTGAAAGGCTTAACCCTTTAAACCCAGAACTCTTGCTCTGTCATCTCTGAGGTCCTGATTCGTGAGCATTTCACACAATCCACTATATGTAGCCCAACTCTTTCCATTCTTCACTTTACTTTCCATCCCCATCTTTTTACCAGATGCCTTCCTGATCAGACAAGAGACTTTGCCCTGGAGTAACTAATCCTTTCAGCTCTAGAATTCTCACAATGGGGTCTCTACTCTCCCAATTGGTGAGTGCTTCATGGGGTCCTCTATATCCTGGTCAACTCCAGCCATGCGTCCATTTATTCCCTAGACATCTTTCTCACTAACCACACTGACATCACAAACATATTCTCTGCGTCATCCTCCAACTCCAAACCCTACCTTTCCAGTTCTGGGGCCATAATGAAATCAACACTGTCATTACTACCACCAAGAGTGTGTTAGTCTGCTTTCCTATAGTACCACTCACCATCCCTGAAACTTTCCAAGCCTTTTCTGATAAATTTCATTCAATGAGCATTTACAAAGCAAATTAGAGTGACACGGTAGTTCTTCAAGGAGTTTTGAAGACCAAATTCTTGATATCTTCTCATCAGGCACGTTGCCACCCAGACAAGGCCACCACTCCACTATACATGTTACCTGCCCCATTTTAGAATGTATGCCCTCTGAAGGCAGAGAGTGACTTCATTTTTATATTTGTATCCCCACCAGAAAGCACAGGGCTTGGCACCTACTGAGTATTTGAATGCTTTTCTTCATTCATTCATTCATTCATTCATTCATTCTTCAAATGCCTAAATTAATACCTCCATTTTTCCCTTAGGCATGTTCCTTCTTCCTGGTGATTGTCTAAGTCACCTCCACCATTTTCAGAGAGCTCCACAATTACAGTCACCTCCAGCCTGCCTATGGGAGACTCTCATGATTAAAGACACAGTCAGGCTAATTTTCCCCTCTAGGCATAAGAGAAGCTCTGTCAGGAATTAGTAGTAAAGTTTTTACAGCTGTTGAAAGAAGAAAACTAGTATAGTTCTCGAAGTACCAAGGATATAGGCTATAATAGCACCTTGAACATAGTAAGTACTTAATAAATGCTCAATGAATTTAAATTAATATTACTTCTTCAGGAGAACTAAGGGCAATAGTCCAAAGCTACCTGGTGAGACAGTTCAGCTGCTAACAAAGAACTCATACAACCTTTATCCTCATATCACATGTAAATTCCCAGTGGAACACCAGGACTTATGTTTGACACATTAGCCCCAATCCACTTAGGAAGTAGGGGATTGGGAGGAAGGGATGGGAGAATCAGGATGACTGTCTACTCTGGAACTGGGGGTGCAAAACTTAACTCTGAACTGGGAGTCTAGATACCCAAGTTTTAAACTTGGCTCTGCTGTTAATTACATGTATGACACTGGGAAAATTATTTCCAGTAAAATGTAAGCTCTTTGAGGACAAGGGGTGAATTTGTTTTGTTTTGTTTTACTTTTTGTCCCCAGCACCAAGCATAGTACCTTAGATGTATTTGATAAATGTTCATCGATTTTAATTGAGTTGTTTCATCTTTTTTCTTTCAATTTTCTTGTCTGCAAAAGAGGCAAGTGGTTAAGGTGATCTATAAGGTGCCTCTCATTGGTAACATTCTTTGGGTCCATGGAAACAACATGATACAGTGGAGAGAACTCCAGATTTGGGAACAGAGGATCTGAGCTCAGACCTCAACCTTGTCATAAACTAGCTGTATGACCTTCAGCAACTTACTTAACCTCTCTGAGCTGTGATTTCCTCATTTGTAAGATAAAGAGGTTGGACTAGATGACATATTCCATTCCAGATGTCAGTCTACGATGCCATAAAACCTTACCCACTTTTATTTCCACTTCCTTCTTTTTGTACCTTATCCTTCAATTTCACCTGCTCGTGATTATACAGTAGCAAACCAACACTCATTACTTTTTTTTTGCTTTTATTTCCCTCTCCATTTGAAAAAAGAAGAAAAACAATATAATTTCTCATCGAAAGAGGAAAACCTAGATCATGACTGTTTACTCTGAAAATGTTTAATTCAGTAAATGATCATTTCTTAATGTATAGAGTACTAGATTTGGAATTAAGAAGATCTGTTTGAGTTCCATGTTAAACATTTACTAGCTGTGTGACCTGAGCAAGTAACAACCTCTCTGCGTATGCTGGTAAATGTTTCAGAATAGGCTCTCTGAAAAAATAAATGTACTCACAGCACACATTTAAGTTTAATCCTCATTATTTATGTTTTCTTTACACCTTTCTTAAGTCTCAACAATCAACAGGACAATAAATAATTTGTAATGTCAGAGGTATAAATTATCACACTGAAAATCTATAGGAGGAGCAGACTCCATCACCACCACCCCCCACCTCCATGGCTATTTCTTCTGTAAAATGAGGGGGTTGGGCATGTTGACATTTCAGACTCCTTTCTAGCCCCAAACCTAGGATTCTATGAGACTATTTAAATCTCATTTTTTTTCCCGTCATAGGCCACCCTCCATCTTTTCATGATTTATATTTCAGTTTCACCTGAAGCTTCCCAACCTCATCCAACCTTGATACAGGCCTGGGAAATCCCACATCCTTAGCAACAGGACTTAGCAGGCTTCTGAGGGAGTAGGTTTAGCTGTAACAATCAAATTCTTGTTAAACAATTATGAATTCCGGCCTGCCCCATAATGAAGTGCCTTTCTGTGAAGGCCTGGTTGTCACAGTGGTGACATTTACACTAGCTTCACTATTATAAATAGTTGAAATTACAGACAAGCAAGACAATGATTGCTTTTAAAATACTCTTTGGTAATGGCTCTGTGGTAGTATATAATGTCCTCACTCTCTTCTCACTGCCATAGGGAGCATCTTTTATACCATCGACATTTGGCACAATAAATAGCTGAATCTTCTACACTGGGTCTCAGCATGTCCAGATCCCAGACAGAATCATGAAACAAGTCAAACTGTTCGATAGGATTTGTGTCATCTCTCTGTTCTCTTCCTCCTTCTTTTTTCTTTCTTCCTTTCCCTACCCTACCCCCACCTCAACATGCAATGTTCGCAAGGTTCTTCATTGTAGAGTGAATTACTTTAATATATTGCTCCATGGGATATTTTTATTTTAACAAAGATAATGCCCTTAAAAAATAAACTTTAGACTGGACTAAATTTGAGGCTAGAATGCAATAAAGTATTTATGGATCATCAAATGCAACAAAAATAATATTACTAATAACAAAGAACAAAAAAGGATGCAGTTTCTAAGGTTAAAAAAAGACAGAACTTTAAATAAAAGGACAATTCCCCTCGATCTTTGTTTTTACTAGGTAACTGGTCAGGACAGGTTCCCTTCAGGGAGTAGGAACTTTGCTAAAATCTCCAACATCAATTTCATGCAGGACGAGCAGACATGGACAGGTTTATGATCTGCCTCCTTGAAAGAAATTCCTACATTAATGAGATTGTTACTCTATTGAAGTATTGGAATGGGTGGAGAGATGCTGGAGAACACTGGAATCTTTCAAAGGCTCTCAAATCATCACTGATAAGTAGCTGCCTCCTTCACTGAGGCATGCACAACGTTGACTTTAACTCCAGCTTTTGAATCCCTTCGCAACCTGTCTCCAGCTCGGTTTTTTTTAGCCTCATGAGACATCAATCTCTTTCACACTCTCTATGGGTCAGAAAAAACTCATCTTGTTATGTTGTCCCTCCTGCATGGCATTTCATCTTCCCTTTGGACAGACTACCTATCAGGCCTGGAATTCATTCCCTTTCCGTTTCTGCCTCTTAAATTTCCTAGTTTCCTTAAAAGTTCAGCTCAAAAGCCACCTCCGACATGGAACTATTCATTTTCCTTCCATCTACCACCCCCCGCTTCCAAAAATTGCTTTGTATTATTTTATTCTATTTTATATATATTTTCATATGTGCATGTTGTCTTCCCCTAGAGAATATGACCTTTGTGAGGGCAAGGATTGTTTTATTTTTGTCTTTGTATTCCCTAATGCCTGTTGATTAATTTATTGAAACCATACTTCATTTGGAAATTGTTTATTGATTAAATTGATATTGAGTAAATCACTATTTTTATTGCTGGGTAATTGATGCTTCTTTTTTCCAAGTTCAGAATGCAATTTTTTTCTTGAAATTTCTTCATACTTTCTCATAGATTCTAGTGCTCACAACATTATTCATGGTACACACCTGGAAGAAAGAATATTTGTTATTATTTGTATATAGAATGGAGTCAAAGGATCTGCATTTGAATCCTGGGCTCTGATACTATCTGTGTGACTTTGGATAAGCCACCTAACTTCTCTGGGCTTTGGCTTCCCCATCTGTAAAGTGAAGAGGTTGGGGTAGGTGACCTGTGACATCCCTTCCATCTTTAAATTTAAAGTAGTTCTAAAGTTGTCATTGAATCTCCAACCTGGAGAAAAAAAAATGCGTAATTTAGGGCATTCAAAGAAACTAAGAAATTGTCATAGAATCTCAGAATTTGGAAGGACTTCAGAGGCCCTCCCGTCCAACCTGTATATGAATAACTACTAATAACCAACCTTTGTTCAAAGACCTCGAATGAAAGGGAACACCTGACCTCCCAGGGTGATATTCTACTTTTAGATAATTCTCATTGTTAGGCTTTCCTGATGCTGCAACTTCAATATTTTTCTCTGCACCTTCTACCTTTTGCTGCTTGTTGAGCCCTCTGTGACCAAAGAGAACGAGATTAAATCCAGCATGACTGTTAAATTATTCTAGCTATTGCCAAGAAACTCACCACCACCATTTTCCCATCTGCAATTTGTCTTTTGATTGTTGTCTCCTTGCCATGCCACTTCTGTACCTGGATCAGGGAGCCATTTTCCAACGTTATGATGCTCTAGAAATCCACAAAGGATTTACTTTTAGAAATCAACTGATAACTTTATTTAAGAAAATTTGGATCTACTTATGGCTAGGTGTCTATTTAACACATTTTAAGGCTAAACTAGTACCAATAAATACAGGGGGAGATGGTTGGTGAGTCAGGAGAATCCTCTGAGAAGAGTTTACAGATGCACAAGGACAAAAATCACAGAGGGGGAGAGATCAGATTGCTGATGCAACCTAGCCCCATGGAGGGAGTATCCTCACTGAGATCTGTTGAAGTACTGAAGCCATTTACACACTTTTCCATTTCAAAATCTTTGTTGTAATACTTCAAACAATAGTATCATAGGTCTGGGTTTTATTTCTGGAGGCTATCTAGCCAACAAAGGTAGTATGGTCTAGTAACAAGAGAGATGGCCTGGGAATCAGGAAGGCCTTGGTTCCAGCCCAGCCTCTGACATATACTGGCTGTATGCCCCTGGGCAAATCACTTAATATTTCAGGATCCCTATATGTTCTAAGACTAGAATTTGCAGAGCAGCTGACAATCCACAATGGTAGAGAAAGTTTCTCATGTGCATGCACGCAAAAGATAGGTACATTACGTATATGTGTGTATATATACATGCCCAGTTTCTAGGCAGATAATGTGTGGTGAGGTTTGTTGTTGTTGTTCAGTCGTGTCTGACACTTCCTGACCCCATTTGGGGGCAAAGATACTGGAGTGGTTTGCCATTTCATTTTCCAGTTCATTTTACAGATGAGGAACTAAGACAAAAAGTGACTTGCCCAGGGTCACACAGCTAGTAAGTGTCTGAGGCCAGATTTGAACTCAGGAAGATGAGTCTTCCTGAGGTCAAGCTTGGTACTCTATCCACTGCACCAACCAGATGTTTCTATGTGATAAGGGACTTAAGGATAATGATAGAAAACTAGCTAGGGTTGAATAGCACTGAAAAAAAATCAAATGGTATTTTTTGCCATTTTAAATTGTTAAATTGATTAGTTAAAGTGTTAATTCAATTCATTGTACTGAAATCATCATCAAAAGAACACAAAAACTAATTACAATAAATGCTTGATTCTGTGCCATGCAGTCAGCGTAGACAGAGCTTCAAAACTAAGAACTCTTCAGGAAAAGAGAGCTCTCAGACTCCCTTGAACCTGTTTCAGCTCTTTATCATCTGGAAGCATTAGTGCTCACCTTCACTTTCCGGTTATCTGCTGTGACTTCATCAAACTCCTCACCCAGCTTGAAGGAGATCTCCGTGGTTTTGAATGTGCTCTCTGTTTTGATGGTCATCACGTCGCCATTAGCACTTATAGTTACACTGGGTTTAGCTAATCCTCCAACGTTCCTGGTGGCAAAACTCACTCCTACAAGTCAGATGAGAAATTAGATCTGATTCTCCTTTCTGAGAATGCTGGCCATAAGACTTCAATTCAATTCAATAAACCTTCATTAAGTGTCTACTATGGGCCAGGTACTATGTTAAGGGCTGAGAATATAAAAAAAAGGCAAAAAACAATCCTTGCTCTCAAGGAGCTTATAATCTAATGAGGAGTTTATAATCTAATTTCAAATTTACATTCTTCAAGAAATAGCTAAAATTAATCATTTTAAAAGCTTTTTAAAATCTATTTTTCCCATTAGGCATTTTAGTAATAGATTTGAATCTTCTTTTGCCTGATCTTTGGAATTTATGCAGCGAGCTATATGCTCCCAACTATCAGCTACTTCCAGGGAGACTCTTTGGCAGTGTGGGAAGCTGTAATCCATCTCTCAGACTATTGGGTTTTACTTATAAAATCATTGCCTCAGTATTACTACTCCCAGAGGCCTGAAAGAGGGAGGGAATACAGTTTCTCAAGATTTTCATTTTCTTTCAGACTAGTACTTGGAGGAAATCTTGCTTTTTAAGATTTTGATGAGAAGAGGCATAGCATAGTGGGAAGGTGCTGGACCTGGAGTCGGAGATACCCAAGTTTGAATAACTATGGGAAAAGGCACTTCACTACTTTGTAAACTGGGGGTCATAATACCACGCAGAACTGTTGTGAGGCTGAAGTAAGTAAATAAACCCTAAAGAGTTATGCATATAGGACAGGGCATCAAAAATGTGCATTTATATAGGACTACTAAAAGTTCCATTAGTTATAGTAGAACTATAAGTACTACAAAACGCTTTTCTCATGACCCCTCTGTGAGGTAGGCAGTACATATAATTATAGTAAGGGGATGCTGTAAATATAATTGGCTCGTCAGAAAAATGTGTATACCACTTTCAAGTTTAATCTGCATTATTTTTTTCTCAATTGTTTTCTTAAGTCTAGACAAACAAGCCCTGATTTATAATAATAATAATAATTATTATTATCATATATATAGCACCTACTATGTGCCAGACACTGTGCTAAATGCACTTAACAAATATAATCACATTTGATCTACACAACTCTGCAAGGTAGGTGCTATAATTATCTCCATCTTACAGTTGATGAAACAGAAAAACAGAGGTTAAGTGACTTGTCCAGGATTACAAAGTTAACAAGTGCCTAACGTTAGATTTGAACTCAGATCGTCCTGACTCCAAGCCCAGCACTGCTGATTTGTAGTGTTTACCTATTTCTGAGGTATAAATGTTTACACCGAAAATTTAACAATTGACTTTTAAGAGCTGATTTGAGCTGGTTTCAGCACACTCCTGATTATACCCATGTTGCAAACATGGAAACTAAAGCTTATGGAGAAAAAACAAAAACAAAAAACTTCTTAACAATTGTCAAAAAAATGAAATAGGTCACCTTATGAGTTCTCTATCTCAGGAGGTCTTCCAGGGGAGGCTGGATATCTGCTTGTTGGAGATGCTATAAAGGGGATTCTTAATCAGGCCCAGTTTGAACTTCATGACCTCTGAGGTCCCTTCAGAGTCGCGGATCATATGACTCTATACTTTGAAGGGATTAAGTGACTTTCCCCTTTCATACAGACAGTGCCGGAGACAGGAAAATGCCAATTAGATTGTAAGCTCCTTGAGGGCAGGGCCTGTCTTTCGTCCCTTTTTGTATTCCCAGTATTTAGCACAGTGCCTGTCATATAGTAGGCACTTAAGGAATGTTTATTGATTGGTTGACTAGAACCTAACTTTGACTTCCCTTGTTCACATTCCATCCCTACCACATAGCTTCTTCATATGATTTAAATTCTTTGTTCATTGAAGGATCAAGCCTACATAGTGCATCAACATGCTGGAAACGTATTTGGGAAGCAGGGGGCTAAAGAGGATCCAGACCTATGATTTCATCAGTATAGGAAAACTCCCAATGTGCAAACTCCCTTTATTGATACAGATAAGCAGCTCATGTGTAATTTATAGTCTAAAGAGTCACCTGGGGCACTGGAGAAGTTAAAGCTAGTCTATGTCAGAAGAGGGATCTAAACTCAGCTCTTTCTGCCTCCAAAGTCAACCTTCTATCCATTAAGCTATATTTTCTCCCTGTACAGATTCAGGTTAAGAAACATTTAAGCTGAACTTGCATCTTGTCTATATATCCTGTTTAGTTCTTGATGCATCTGTTTCAATAATCCAAGGTGTTACCTAGTAACACCAGCAAGGGACAAACCAAGTGAGTAGCCCACTGGTTGAAAGTCACTCCACTATTAGGCTTCTCCAATGGCTTTGGGTTCAAGTATCATAGCCAGAATGTCCTCACGTGAACACAATCATGTTATATCAGCCTTAACAAATAAGTCAATGCATTAATGCAAAATATTTTAGTAGTGTTCTGAGCAAATAAGATACTGAACTTTCTAGACCATGGAGCACCACTGGGAGATCAGACCTGAATACAATGACCACACTCCAAAGGAGATGTGTTATACTCACTGCCTCTATCCACTTCTCAGCTCCTTGCAATTTGCTTCCTAACCCCACTATGCTACTAAAATTGGTCTCACAAAGTTACTAATGATGTCTTTTATTTTTATTTTTATTTTTGAGGCAATCAGGGTTAAGTGACTTGCCTAGGGACATATGGCTCATAAGTGTCTGAGGCTGGATTTGAGCTCAGGTCCTCCTGACTCCAGGTCCACCAATAATGTCTTAATTGCTAAATTATCTATCATTTTCTTAGTTCCAATCCTTGCCATCTCTGCAGCTTTGGCAGCCCCCTCATCCTGTGGATAGTCCTCTCATCCTGGACATTCTTTCTTACCTGGCCTTCTATGATACTACTCTGTCTTGGTTCTCCTCCTTCCTGTCTGATCATTCCTTCTCACTCTCCTGAATTATCAATTCAATCTTCTACTTCCTAAGCAATGGTGTTTCTCCAACTCTTTGTGCTGGACTCTCTTCTCTGTCTACATGCTTTCCCTTGATGATTATATCCACTTGCATGAATTCAATGATCATCTCTACATTGCTGACTCCAAGGCTATATCCAACTCTAAATCTTCCTCGTTAATTCTAATCTCCAATTGCCTACTAGACATTTCCATCTGGAGGTCCATTTGACATCTCAAACTCAATATATCTGAAATAGAATTCATGATAGTCCACCCCATTCCACCCTTCTTCCACACTTCTCTCCTTTTAGATCACAAAAAGGGAAAGGACCTACACATACAAAAATATTTATAACACTCTTTTTGTGGTGGCAGAGAATTGGAAATTGAGGGGATGCCATTCAGTCAGCTGGGGAATGGCTGAACAAGTTGTGACATATGAATGCAATGGAATTCTGCTGAGCTATAAGAAATAGTGAGCAAGTAGATTTCAGAAAAACATGGAAAAGCTTGTGTGAACTGATACAAATCGAAATGAGCAGAACCAGGACAACACTGTACACAGTATCAGCAACATTGTGCAATGATCAACTATGAATGACTTAGTTCTTCTCAGCAATTCAATGATCCAAGACAATTCCAAAAGGATTCATGATGGAAAATGCCATCCACATCTAGAGAAAGAACTGAGGGAGTCTGAATGCAGATCAAAGCATTCTATTTTCACTTTCTTTATTTTTGTTGTAGTTCTTTTCTTTTGGCCTGTTTCTTCTTTCAAAACATGTCTAATATGGAAATATGTTTTACATGACTGCACATACATAACCTATATTACCTTGCTAACTGTCTTATAAAGGGGGTGATGAAGGAGGGAGGGAGATAATTTGGAACTCAATATTTTTTAAAAATGAATGTTAGAAATTGTTTTTACATGTAATTAGAATTTTTTTTTTTTTACAAAAAGCATATACTTCTCTTTGCTGAGGGCACC